ATGTACTCGTTGCACAAGAGCTTCCTGTTCTTCCTAAAAAAAAAAGGTCATAACAAATTTCTACTACAAATAGCAGAAGGTAAACGACGATTACAAATTGTTTACCGAGAAGCCACTGCGCTCCAATTCTTCTTGATATTCCAAAAACTGATCTAAAAGATGAGCAAAGGTGGGTCGCTTCTCTGGATCAACCTGAAATTTCCTCATTTCTCTAACAATTGTGTTATAAAAGTATGGATGACTAACAATAATAAAAATATATCATACAAAATAGAAAAAAAAAACGAAGTTGAGCGAAAAGCAAAAGCTTCACAATCAAAAACTTGCATTCCAGCAGCTCTGCATAATGTCCTTCCATTTGAGGGGGCAGTCATCAGATATTGGTAAATTGATTCCATTAGTTGATACCTGAAAATTTCGAAAAAAATCGCACACAAATAGGACAGACCAAAACCAGAAAATCGTAAATCTTTTCTTGCTGCAAAAATTAAAAAACCCACAATGTAAGCTACTGTTATGGGCAGCTGTCCTTGATGAGGATCCTTGCGGGTAAGCAACTCCCACAGCACAACACCGTAGCTCCAAACATCAGAAGCTTCGGAGTACTGTTGAAACTTATATGCTTCAGGAGCCATCCAGGCGTATGTGCCAACAACACTTTTCCTGAAATAAAGAAAGATGATGCTATACTTCAATATTCTTTCTATTTCCTGCTACTATTGGAACCGAGACAAAGCACTCTAATTAGGAAATAAAGTTGAGGTAAACGAACGCTCACATCAACGTGAGGTGATGCAAATAGCATATGTGTGAACTGAGCATTGACCTCCTCGGTAAAGGAAACATCAAAATTATTGCCGTCTGAGTGGAAAAGCTCGTCTTTGGAGAGGGTATGGGGAAAAAAGAAATAAAACTCTGTAATTGAGTTGCCATCCTCACGTTCTCTTCGCTTCATTGTAGTTCTTTCAACAACAAAAGACATCAGTTTATATCTCAACACTGTTGTGTGACCTCTC